TGGGGTGTCTTGACTTGGCCGAGACACCGTAGGTGCCTCGGTTCAGCTCTGAAACGTTTTCAATGCCCGTTTGACTGTTTTCGCTGTAACTTCTTTGTCTGAACCCGGATCTGAGTGATTCCAAATGTGTTGGAAAGCCGACAAGGAGTTCTATCAGCTCCAATGGTTGGATTATCTATTGAATGAATGAGACACGAAGGGCGTTGTTCCTTTTGTAAACACCGCGGGGCTCTCGATTAGCCCGTACCTTTGTTATTCCGAAATTCTATCGACTCACGTAGTTCGTCGATTCACTTCAAACGTTCACTGACGTCAATCGAACTCCTGTAAACCGGATAATGACGTTCATCATCATTCCTTAACACTGAGCTGTTCGTAGAGACCTATAGGCAATTTTCGATGCCTACACTATCATTGGAGTATCATTTATATTATCAACTATATCATCATCATTATTTAAGAAAATGGGTGTTTTTATAAAATTTTCATCAAAAGAAACATGCATAGATTCTTCAATGACTAAGGTTCTTTTGTTATATATTCTATATGCTTTACTATGATTTGAATATCCAACAAATATTCCTTCGTCTGATTTTGAATCAAATTTGTCCAAATTATCTTTTGTATTCAAAATAAAATATTTACAAACAAAAACTTTAAAATAAGAAACTTTAGGAATTTTACCATAAAAAAATTTCATAAGATGTTTTCCTTAAAATAGGTCTTAATAAAATTCTGTTTAAAACATAACATGCTGTAGATACAGCTTCTGCCCAAAAATATTTTGGTAAATTACTATCACATAACATGGTTCTAGCACATTCTTGTAAAGTTCTATTTTTCCTTTCTACAACTCCATTTTGTGGAGCTACTCGAGGAAAAAAAAAGTATGAGAAATATCATGTTTATCACAAAAAATTGTAAATAATTTATTTTGAAATTCACCTCTATGGTCACTATGTATAGAAATAATAGATAGAGATTTTTTATTTTGAATTCTTTTGCAAAATATAGAAAACTAATTAAAAGCATCATGTTTATATTTAAGAAATATTACCCATGTAAATCTTGAAAAATCATCAACAAGAACAAAAGCATATCTACTTCCATTTAAAGATGCTACTCTAGAAGGACCAAAAAAATCGATATGAATTAATTCTAATGGTCTACTTATAGAAATTACATTTTTAGATTTGAAAGAAGATTTATGCATTTTTCCTTGTTTACATGTATCACAAAAAATGTCTTTAAAAGAAAGTTTAGGTAAACCATTTACAGAATCATTCTTAATCTTAGAAATATGTTTAAAGTTAACATGTCTAAAACGTTTATGCCATAAAATAGAATCATTAGAGGATACAAGAAGGCAATGTTCATTAGAAATGTTATTCATAGATAACACATATATATTATTTTTTTCTATGTCCTTTAAATAATATAGTAATCATATCAATATCAAAATTTAAGCAAGATTCTTTTTCCAAAAATAATTTTAAAACCTTTATCACAAAGTTGACTTATACTAAGTAAATTATGTTTAAGACCATCAACTAATAAAACATTATGAATAATATGTTTATTTGGATTACCAACAGTTCCAATACGATGACCTTTCCTTTGTTGTTATCTCCAAAAATGATAGTACCACCATCCTTATTTTGAAAAGATAACAATAATTGTATGTTTCTAATCATATGTTTGGAGCAATCGTTACACAAAATCCACTTATCTTTCTTGGGTACCTAAAATGATAAACATTTACAAATTTGGTGTCCATACTATGTTGGGTCCATGAAATTAGCCTTTAGGAAACTAAACCCATGAAGAATTTGATTCACCTAAATAGTTAGTTGATAAACAAACATTTTTAATATAATGAGAAATATAAAAAATTTTATGTAATGAAGTTAATTCTTTAGGCACCCAAATAAAAAAAATTTGATTTCTTTTTACATATATCATCATTTATATTACAAGAAGGTTTTACAAAAATAGTTTTCTTAGATATATTTCTATTAATTTGAAAACCTAAACCTTTTGTCTTTTGAGATTCTTTTTGAAAAGAAAGTATTTTATTAAGATTTTCTTTACATTTATTGAATTTACTAACATTTAAACATATATCATCATATTTTAATTTAATAGAAGAAATATCTTTATCTAAACTATTAATGCGAATATTTAAATTATTACATTCTGATTTTAGATAAACGTTCTCATTAGATAAACATTGGTTTTCTTTAAGCAAGGAATAATTTTTTCTTTTAATTTAATTACTTGAGAATTAGAATTTGTAGATGAATTAAAATCTAAAATTTCTTCAAGTAATCTTTTATTTTCACATTTAAGAAAATTATGTGAAACCTTTAATCTCAAAAAGGTTTCATATAATTCATTAAAAGCATCTAAAAGTTCTTCATTGTCACTTACTTCATCATGTGTCATAAAGCACATATAAGCACTTTACTTTTCTTCAATTTCTTCATCCGAAGATGAATCATCACTATCATCCCAAGTAACCGCCATGGCTTTCCTTTTCTTGTTGTTTTGAATATTGTTGAAGTTATTGAAATAATTTGATTTTTGCTTGCTCTTCAACAATGGATAATCTTTCTTCATATGCCCTGGTTTATTACACTTGAAACAAAGTAAGTTATTTGAATTTAAACTTTTTGATTTGTACTTACATTGTTTTATGAATTTTTGAAATTTACGTGCAAACATGCTCATTTATTCATCATCATCCGAATCTTCTTTATCAAAAGTAATATTGAATGCAAGCACTTTCTTGTTCTTTGTTTCGTTATCATTCTTTCTATCTTCAATTTGGACTTCATAAGTTATGAGATTTCCGATAAGATTCTCAACCGTAAGAATTGACAAATTATTTGCTTCTTCGATTGCGGTAACCTTCTTTTCTCATTGTGGAGTAAGTGATCGGAGTATTTTTCTTATCATCTCCACTTGAGTGTATGTTTTTCTAAGACCAATGAGAGAATTTGTAATGTCGATGAATCTTATGAACATTTCTCCAATTGTCTCATTTTCCTTCATCTTAAATAATCCGAATCAGTGTACAAGAATAGAAATTTTAGATTCTTTAACCTTATTTGTACCTTCATGAGTTACCTCGAGTGTGTGCCAAATATCGTATGCAGATGTGACCGTTGACACCCTATTAAACTCATTCTTGTCAAGTGCACAGAACAAAGTGTTCATTGCTTTCGAATCCAAATTTGCATTATTTTTTTGTGAAGTAGTCCATTCTGAAAATGGAGTTGATGGCTTCTCGTATCTTGTTTTCATAATGTTCCAAAGTTCGTAGCCAATTGATTGAAGGTAAATTTTCATTCGGCACTTCCAATAGTTGTAGTTCAATACATAGAACATTGGTGGACGATTTATAGAATACCTTCTTTGAATTGTGATGTATTAATTAATGCCATCTTTCACCTTGCTCTGATACCAAATGTAGGATCTGAAATAAATACACTAGAACACTAGAGGGGGGTGAATAGTATTCTTTTAAAATTTATGCAAAGTAGATAATAAATTGTAATAAAGAATGGAAACAATCTCAGAAAATCACAATGACAAACAAGAGATTTTATACTGGTTCCACCAATCTGGTGTACATCCAGTCCTCAAGAAAATCCTGCTTGAGATTTCCACTATAATTTTGAACCAAGTACAAAATTAAAACCAAACCTGACCAATTTGCAAGTCCATGTAAAATTTAACACCAATTGACAAAACTTTGCTAATTGCACACCAATCTCTAGACCAAGAGATTAACCTCTCTCAAACTGAGAGAACTTTCCTTGAATCAAACAACTCAATTCCTATAAGTCTTGATTTGAAGTGTTGTGTAGCAGTGGCTTAGGAATAATTTTAACCTCTGGAAATTGCCTTATTAATAAGTATTTTGAATGAGGATCAATGGCAATTTCAGAAACAATCTTTTTAGCAAAATCTGAATTTTTGACTCTTGAAAAATGTACAAAGATCAAAGCTTATGGGTGTCTATGCATGTTGCATTTTTCTGAAAATATAACCTTTATATAGCCCTTGAAAAAACAAATTTTTAAACTTTAAAAATGTTTAAAAATGGCTATAAACCGTCACTAATTCAAATTCTGAATTTTGGAAAAACTGTATCTGTAGTCGACTACACTGAGTCTAAACAGAGTCTGTGAAGTCAGAAAATTTCTAAGTAGTCGACTATAATGGTCATTAGTCGACTATACTGTAATCAAACAGAAATTTGACAGAAACTTGAAAAACAAATTTTGCCTTCAGTAGTCGACTATGAAGTCGATTAGTCGACTACACTGTAAACTAACAAAAACTTATATTTCAGTCATAAGCTTGAGTAGTCGACTACTATTCTAATTAGTCGACTATATTGTAAACTAACAAAAACTTATATTTCAGACATAGACTTGAGTAGTAGTCTACTATTCTAATTAGTCGACTACTAAGGATTAAAAATGATATAAATTAAATGTTTTGACACTCAATTAGGATTAAAAATGATATAAATTAAATGTTTTGACACTCAATTATTAACTATAAACTCTAATGGTTAACATAGGGGATTTCTATAGTTAACCAACACACTAAGCATGTGTTAGTGTGTTCTAATTTCTATGTGTGTATATGTGTGAGTGATCAAGGCTTGTACAATATTTCTAAGTAAAGAAAAATGCAAAAACAATTACATTGACGTATATGTTCTCTATCTTCTTTACTTCATAATGTATTAAACTCATCTTGCACTGTTCATATTTGATATTGAAATCTGCATATAAATGTTAGTGCATTTGTATAACACACATAGTATAAATTGTTATCATCATAATAATATATTGGAGACATGATATTCAACAGAAATTTTTAGTTCTAGTCTTCTTCCTATACAGGTTAAGTGCTTTAATAATCTGAAAAGAAGTGATGGAAACCCAAAATTTGTATGAAAATATAAAAATCTTTTAGCAAGTTTAAAAGATAAATATGGAAAAATCGAGAATCTGCCTCACTCGATGCCACACAACCCTCCGATACATCCTCCTCGACGAAAGCACTGGCAGACCGCTAAGCGTCCGACCCAAAACCTCCGCGAAAAGCACAATCCCCATCTCTACCACCGGCCTCCCCTTTACCTTCTCCATACTCAAAACCTCCTCATCCCTCACAACCCTCATTTCCCCCTTTGCCATAAACTCCTCTCTCTCCCTCTCCTTCTCAAGATCACAAAGCAAATAATCCAACTCCGCTACATACAACGGCATCACCTCCTTTGTCAGCATCGTCCCGAGCAAATCAACACCCACGTTCACATCCAATTTGTTATCATTGCCCGAAACAAGAACACCAACAACAAAATCCCCTCTTTTGAGCTCGTAGTACTTCACACTGACATCGGTCACCTCTTCGAGTTTTGGACTAATGGGTTCATGATTATCAGCGAATTCAATGGCTCCGTCATCGGAGTCGGATTCGGATCCGTCGAATTTGAAGAATTTGAGGAAGGGAGCTAGGGCTTCGCTGAATTCTTCAGAGGGGTTTTCAAGCTCAGTGGAATTGGGGTTTTCGAGCTTCTTGGGTTTCGTTAGGAGCTCGAGAGGCTCTAGCTGCTTGCTGAGGTTGAGGGTTTTGTTGGTGGAGTGGAGAAACGAAATAATCATAACAATCGGAGAGGAAGAGGCATAGGGGGCGGGTGGGTGGAGCGGCAGAGGAGAGGACGGTTAAATGAGGGAGAGGAGAAGAAGCGGAAGAGGCAGAGGGAGGCGGGTGGGTGGAGCGGCAGAGGAGAGGACGATTAAATGAGGGGGGCGACGAGTGGGATGAAGAGGCAGAGGGGATTCATGCGTTTCTTAGTGGTTGAGAAACAGAAGAATCAGAGAGATGAAGAGGCGGTTGCGGCGCAGGGGGGAGCGGCAGGGGAAAGGACATATTTTAGATTATATAGAATAAAATTAGAATTACAAAATTTGAAAAGGGTAATTTGGGTATGTAAAGGTTTTGACAATAGTTTTTTTTAGAAATAGTATAGATTTAACCGAGGAGTTTTGATGAGAACCGTTGTATTAGGGGCTGTTTGGTTTCCTGTTTTTGAGGGAAAGACTCTTTTGAAAGCCTGCCAAAAGTGTCAAAATTGTCACTTTTTGGCAGGCTTTCAGCCAAAATCTTCTTTTTTTAGAGACGATTTTGGCTGAAAGCCTGCCAAAAAGTGACATTTTTGGTATTTTTGGCAGGCTTTCAAGAGAGTCTTTC